TTATTTCTTCTTATTTTGTGATAGAATTGAGAGCACCGACCACGCAGGTTCTGATTTCAGTGTGGCTGCATACGAAATGAAAGTGGAATAGGACTCTATCTCCAAGGTAAAAACAGAAACCTTTCCAGGTATTAAATGTGATGTTTTTAATACTAGTGCCTGACATTGCTGAGAGAGAAATCATGCCACACGTGTCAGGGTACATGTTCAAGCCACATATTTAGAACCATCAGACAGAGACAAATAACTGACAAATACTTGGGATGAGGAATTTCTATCTCAGCAACAGAGTCAGAAAAGAAACTGAACTCATGTGTACCCCAGTCCAGGCCTCAAACTTTCCATATATACAGTGTTACAGAAACCATGGAGAAAGATTACAAACAATATCATGGCTTTTGTTGATATGAAATAATAATTAATTAAAAAATGTTATGTGTGAGTGAATCTTGAGGACAGGGAAATTATTTGGAAAAAATGAAAACACACATATATATTAATATGTATTATCCACTTATATGGTATACCTGGAATAGTAACTCCATAGGGGCAGAAAATAAAATTGAGTCTACTAGAGGCTGGTGGGGGACAGGAATGGTGCTTAATGTACAAATAGCTACCATTTAGAGTGATGAAAACGTTACAGAAATGGATGCTGATGATAACAGTGTGACTCTCAATGCCACTGAACTGTATATTTAAAAGGTGAATATTGTCTTGTATATTTTACCACAGTTTTTAAAAAGGTTGTTTTATTACTATTTTAAAGTTGTAATCAAAATGTATTTCAACTGAGTGTGCCAGTCACCCAGTGACTGGTGGGTAGATGTTAGAAGCCAGCTCTGGAAATTCAGCAGGGACTTTTGCAGCATTATTTCTGCAGAATGGAGGAGGTGAGAGTGGACTGGGAAGGTGGGCAGAAGCCGGATGTGGTGGCACATGCTCATGGTCCCGGAACTTTGGGAGGCTGAAGGAGAAAGATTGCAAGCTTGAGCCTGGCCTGGGAAAATTAATGAGACACTGTTCCAAAATAAAATGAAAAAGTGCTGTGGATATAGTAAAGGCCCTGAGTTCAATCTGCATTACTGCAAAAAAAAAAAAAAAAAAAATTAAAAGTAAAAATAATGCAGAAGGCTGAAGGTGGCAGTTGCAACTCCTTGTAGTTTGCTGTAGCTGGCCCACTCCCCGCCTAGGTGCAGATATAAAGTCCAAACGGAAATGTAACACTGGTTTGCCCCTCCTTGAGGAGAGATCCATGGAAGACCAGGATGGGCAGCAGGAGCAACACTGTCACTGTTGGATAGTTCTGTAATTGTACTGACCTTTATCTGTTCCGCACATGAAGTGAAAGCCTTTGCCTGCTGAATTCCTTCTTTAGGCAAAACAGTCAGAATGAGAGACCTTTGGGACTTAATACAAAGATAGAAGGTTCTCTCCTACTTTACTAGAAGACAGTATTTCCTAAGGCAGGGGCCATGAAATATCAGTAGATGCCCCATAAGAAAAGGGATCTGAGTTAAAGTAATGCGGACAGGTTTCTACCACACACCACTTCCCAGAGTGCACTTTGAGTCAACAAAAGGATGTCCTTTTTGTTAATGTAGCTGTCATTGTCATAGGTCTTAACACGGAGCTTCCCCCACCCCATCCCCAGGACATTTTGTAGCTGTGTGTTCTGGACAACACTCTTTAGGAAAGGCTGACCCTAAAAAAAGTCATTTATATTGTTATTAATTTGCCTCTTACCCATGTTTTATGTAATCACAGCAAATACCAGTGGATCAGTTGCTGTCAAGTGATCTTAATACTTTTTGTTTCACAGTATATGTAGTGTTTGTTTTTCTTACTAAAAAGCAATACAAGCTTACTGAAGAAAAACTGGCACCCAGAGACCATCAGAAAGAGTAAAGATGACACCCAGGATCTCACTGTATAGAGGTAATCACTTTTAGGATCTGTATGTCAATTCCGCTCCCTCCTTATTATAAATATACCCGCATTTATCCCCTACAATAACACCTGTCAGTATTCATTGATTTAACCGGATTGCTATTATTTTACCACAAATGTCTTCTTTTATCAGTAAATACTCATGCACAGTATAATTTTAGTGTTAAAAATTCCATCTTTATGAATACATGTGTGGAATTTTTTAATTTAAATTTTTTATTAGTTCATGTTTGCAGTATATAACGATTACATTCGTTGTAGGGAGTTGGTACATGTGCATAACACATCTTGATTCTTTAATATTAAGATGCTGGTCTACATTATCTGCATAGATCTTGTAGGTTCAGGAAATGCATAAATGCCTTCATTTTCTCTCTTCTATGCTGCACTTTGATGTATTTTTAAAGAAAGAATTTGGTCAGCCTTTCCTATCACTCCCCAGCTGCACCTTGGCTAATAAGGTTTAGACACAGTTGATCAAAGTTATGTGTTTTGATAATATATTTGCCTATAAAATAACTAGGTGAATATTTTAAAATGACTCACATTTGAGACACCTATTATCGGTTCCCACGTATTTATTTATGCAGCTATTGTAATCTCATTGCACACTCTGGCGAGTGTAAGTGGTGACTGGCAATTGAAATGCAAAGTCCAATGCACAAAATGGGAAAAACACAAAACTTCTTCCAGGAAAAGAATTTGGCCCTTAAATTGAAATCTAGAGAGAACCCTGCCTCTTCCCCACAGATGATGTTATTTCCATGTGCCACTCAAAGACCCATGTGTAATTATGTTCATATTTCAAAGGCATTTCGAGATCCAAAGGGATGGAGGTCTGCAGTTCGCTGGTTGAACCACTGCTTCGCAGGAAGAAAGAGCACCCTTGGTGCAGGAGGCATTTCTCCTTTGCCCGTGTCTGATGGCCTGGACAAGCCCCACCCCTACCTTGGCAGTCCCATCATCTTTCCTTTCTGCCTCAGTACCATCCAAAGAAATCCTAGCAAAGTCCTGCTTTCTGTGAGGTGAGCTAATGCACACCTGGTTCGGTTCCAAGGACCACCTCTCTGGTGAAGTAATGGACTCACTTAATGTTCTGGATCAAGTAGATCACCAACTTGAAGCTCCTGAAGGGCAGAGGGTTAACTCAAAATTAGAAACTAAAATTATGAGAAGAAATGGAGTGGGCTCAGGGGTAGAGCACTTGCCTAGCAAGAAGCTGTGAGTTCAATCTCTAGCACAGGGGGGAAAAAGAAAAGAAAAGAGGAAAAAAATGTTCTGAGAATAACCAAGGATATTTAGAAAACAAAAGATGGAAATATATATATTTATTTTTAAAATATATAGGCAACCTATTCACTTAGAGATAATATTTCCAAACTATAAATATTTCTAAACAAGGGCAAGAAAAAGAACAAACTGATAAAGGATTAAAGATCGCACATTTCAAGAAACTGAGCTAGCCCAATTCTCAAAACAGTTTTGGTTTATTGATTGCACATCAAATTCCCCTGTCAATTTGCCAGATCAATGAGGCAGTCTAAGATACAGTACCATTTCTAAGAATATTTCCAAAGAGTGAGAAAATAGTCATGTCTTTCTGCAAAGAGGGCTTCTGTTGCCAATACACAATACCCACATACAAACACACACACAAGCTCCCACCTAGTTTTATGAATAATATTTTAAGGCAATAGTTAACATAGGTTGAACAGAATTATTTCTTAAGTCACTTAAGAGATACAAGGCTTTCAATGCAAACGAACACATTTTGAGAGGTATTATTAGATCTGGAAATGACCTATCAGGATCATTCTTTCTGATCACTTCATTTGACAAACAAACAAAAATCCCAACCAGGGAAGCTGAGCGAGCCAGCCAGGGTCATAGACCCATCTGTTGGCAAAGCTAAAACCAAAAGACTCCAGGCTTCTTAAGTCTCCTGATGACTCAGCTGGATGCTGACAGAAGAAATGAAAGAAGGGGCTGGGGATTTAGCTCAGCGGCACAGCGCCTGCCTGGCAAGTGCACAGTTGTGAGTTCAATTCCTGGTACCGGAGAAAAACCAAAACCAAAAAAAAAAAGAAGAAGAAGAAATGAAAGAAATAAAAGATACTTCCAAAATACTTTTCAGAATGATGATTCAAGAAAATGGTATATCCACAAAATACAAATAAGATGCTATAAGAAAGAACCAAGGAACAATAATTCTTGGAAACTGAAAACATGATATGTGAAATAAAACATCCAGTTGAAGGTTGGATGATAAAGATGAATGAATCTCACCAAAAAATTTGTATTAGTTTCATATTGCTGCTGTAAGAAGTTGCCATAAGACTTAGTGGCTTAACGCAAATTCATTGTCTTATATGCTGAAGGTTAGAAGCCTAAAATGGTTCTTACTAAAAGCAAAGTGTTGTAGGTCTCTGTTCCTTGTGGAGACTCTGAAAGACAAGCCTGTTCTCTTGCCTTCTTCAGCTTCTACAGGCCACCTGAAACTTGTTGGCTTGTGGCTCTTCTCTGCTTTGAAAACCCACGGTGTAGCATCTTCAAACCTTTCTCCTCTGTTTCTGTTATCACAGCTCCTTGGACTTGGACACTCCTATCTCTCTCTCATTCCCTTATGAAAATACTTGTAATGATACTGGTCCTATCCGGATAATCTCTCCAACTCAAGATCTTTCCTCTTTGCCATGTAAAATAACATATTCATGGGTTTTAAGAGTTTGAATGTGTCTAGCAACATTGGCAAAAGAAAGACCTGCAGCTGGAACTGTGTTATGAATTTTAGCCTGCCAAGGGTAAAGAGACTGTAAAAGCTTTCAATGGAAAAGAATAATGGGTCCTTTAACAAAAAGACTGATAATCAGATTACCATCAGTTTTTCTTCACTTGTCCAGTATAAGAAGAAAAACCCTATCGGTACCTTCAAAGTTCTTGTTAGGAGATTGTTTTCAACACAGAATTCTGATCCCCTCCTACCAATCAAGGAGAACAAAATTTAAAGCATTTTCTCAAAGTTTACATCCATGAATTTTTGCTTGTTTTGTTTTAGGAACTAACAGCTGAATTCCAACAAAATGATAAAGTAAACCAAAGAGGACGATGTGGATTCCAGGAGACACCAGTTCAGCCTGAAAGAGCAGAGAGGGCAAGTCCTAGGGAAGTGGCTGTTCAGGCCTAAAGAGCAGCTTATGCAGATGGGATGAGGATGGAGACAGTACCTGGAGCAAGGGGCTCCCAAAAGAGCAGGATCAGGATGGCTCAATAGTATGATGAAGATATTGGTAAAACTCGAAGATATGATCAGGCAGCAGAGGGGAATGTATCAGTCAAGGTTCAAGGAGAATAGATGAAGGAAGAATGATAGATGACAGAGGTCATGCTGTAGTTCAAATATAAAATGTTCCTCAAAGTCCATGGGTTTTTTTTATTTTGTTTTGTTTTGTTTTGTTTTGTTTTGTTTCCAGTACCGGGAATCAAACTCATGACTTTGAGCTTGCCAGGCAGGCACTGTGCCACTGAGCTAAATCCCCAGCCCCTCAAAGTGCATGTGTTTAACTATGACACCATTTGGAAGTGGTGGAACCTCAGGAGGTGGGGCCTAGTGGGAGGACACGAGGTCAGGTTGTGGCACGTCCTTCACAGTCACTGGGATCCAGCCTCTTCCTTTCTCTTTTTGCTTTCTGGCCACCACGATAACATAAGCAGCTTTGTTCCACCATGTGCTCCTTGGCATGAGATTAGGTGGATAGACAGAGAAAGAGAGAGATAGATAGATAGATAGATGATAGATAGATAGATAGATAGATAGATAGATAGACAGACAGGTTTTATACAAAACACTGTCCTGTGTGATTGTGGGGGCCAACTACCTAAATTCAAAATCCATAGGCCCATATGTAAGGAAGGGCAGATCGTGAGGACTTGGAACCATGAGCACAAGCTGAAGCTACAGTTCATAGAGGTAATTTGTCTTTTCCTGTGAGAGTCACTTCAGCTTCACGTTTAAATCCTTCCAATGGATTAAACCAGGCCTATCTATTTTAATCTCCCTTATTTAGAATTAGCTGATTAGGGACTTTGCATCTTCAAAATCCCTTCCCAGTAACACCTCTAGTTTAATCTAACCAAGTTGACATGATCAAAAAAGGCATCATATGCGAGCAAAGGGAGTCAGAAGCTATAAGAAAAAAATACCATTATCAGGAAGTTGTGGTCTAAATACAAAGCAAACAAACTTCAATTACATGGTTGAACGCACAAAAGGAAAATGCACCTGAACTTGACTCTGGAGAGATTTTCTACTGAAAGACTCAGTTGTTGGGCTATTAAGTCTTATGATAATATAAATATTGTTTAAGGGCTTGAAACATTTGGAATCACCTGTGGATACTTACAGGAGACTCTCTAAGTTAAAGAACACAGGTAAATGCCATCACTCGACATCGTACAAATAGAAGTTCAGGTGACGAGTTTGGGAAGAGAAGTTGAAGCCAGGTATAAACCTTGTCATCACCTCAGAGAATAGATGGATGTGAGGAGCTGTATGTAATCGATGGAACAAGGAACAGTTAAGTTTCAAAGTCATAAAGAAGATCAGGGGAGGAAATGAAAATCACAAAATTGCTACCCTGGGAGTAGGCAGGAAGGCGATGCGGGAGCCATATAAGTTAGCTAAGTCCTCTATCACAGGAGGAAATCAATAAATAAGGTCTAGAATTAAGAAACCAAAAAGTAGAAGTAGAACCTTGTTATTCAGAACTGTTGAGACGGCGGTGAAAAGAAAAACAGCAACAAAAGTTAGCAGTAGTTGCCTTAGGGCTGCAAAATTAAGAAAGGAGAGAGGCACCCCAGGGTGTTTGTTTTGCAATTTTAAGTCTATCTGTACTATCTGAATGTTAATTAACCAAATGCATATTTCCTTCATAAAAAATTTAAACAATTATATTTGTAAAGAAAAGGAAAGAAAGTAAACAATCCAAAACAAAAACAGGGTTGTGTGCAATTTGTAGAAGATAGAAGTTAGATAAAAGTGAGCACTGTAATAACCATAATATCTACAGTGAGAATCCAGGATTACCACCCAGCTTTGCACTGCCTAACGATGCCTGCAGTTGACTGTCTGCGGTGAAGTTCTCCACGGTTCCTGTGTGTGGATCAACTGGTAGTTCATCAAGGTAACACAGCCAGCCTGGACACTGGAAAAAACTGCATGTAACCTGATAATAACACAATGGACCTCTAAGCAATATCAAAGTGTCTACGTCCAATTCCCCACTGCTTTTGCTCACTCACACTCATAAAGAAATGAAAGGTCAACTTGGTGGCTGTGTGAGGAACTTGGGGAGAAGGAACCATTTTGAAAGTGACTCCACTTCTGATTGAGTATACAGTACTGCACACTGCAGGCGATTAAGGCTCTCATTGGAACCCTCTCATAGTTTACCTCCTCATTGCAATTTCCTGGCATCTCTGCTGCAGGGCTACATGTAATCATGACGGTTGCCAGAGCCATTCTCAATAAGCACGTGCTGAAGAAGCGCTTGCATATATGAGTGAATGACTAGAAGCTGGAGGCACCAGCTTCCAGAAGGACCTTGGAAAATAGCAGTTCAGCAGTTGCCAGTGGAAAACGGGTAGGTGAGTGGGTGCAGACACTAGGATGGATGGATTCCTCCTCTTTCTCTTGCTCCTCCTTTCCACTCAAAGCCTTTAACACCTCTTTAGTCTTTCCTTTCTTGCCTTCCTTTGTCCTTGCCCTGGGTTTTTGTGCCTCTTGCAGCGTCAGTCTTCCTACTCTGATTCTCTGTGCAGTTCTGCATTTGCAATTTATATCCACTTGTCCCTCCCATGAGCATAATGCTAATGCTTTATCTTACTATATTTGCATAATGGGCCTATCTTTTTCCTCCTGGCTCTTCTTCTTCATAATACCATTTTTTAAAAGAATTCCTAAGGCCAGGGATATAGCTCAGCAGTGCAGTGCCTGGCAAACGTGAGGTCCTGAGTTCGATTCCTGGTACCCTAAAATAAATAAAGAAGTACATAAATACATAAATAAATTCCTAGAGAGAGGACAGATGTCCTTGCCATTCCCCATTACCTAGCTGTCTCCTTTGATGCTCTGCTGCAGTTGAGAAGGCTGTTCCCTCCCTTCTCCCTGCCCACTTGAGCATTCTGAGTGATACCTTCTTATGGCTTGCATCTAGATGCCCCCCACAAAACCTCATGCAGTCCTACG